CCCCCCCCCCCATTTTTCTAGGTGTTTATGACTGCAGGTTAAACTCATGTCACATTACCATTAGTACTGGCCGTTTAATTGCAGCAGGCCTGCGCTGTTTTGTATACCTGGTGAGCATCATGGACAGACCTCAGAGCGCAGCTGCAGAATTAGCACACAGTGACAATCAGTAAAAGTTTGCCGGTTGAACAAGTACAAGTTTGCAGTGTGCCCTAAGGAAGGAGCCATGCCTTTCCCATATGTGACAGCAGAATATAAAGCATTCCCAACAACTTTAACATAGACCAAAGACTAACATGCCCAATAAATAAAGAGACTCTACAGGCCACAAAAAGGCAATTTGAATGGCTCTTAAGCATATCTAAGTAGGTACTCAACTTCAGTCATAATAAAAACTGAAAAGGCATTGTAACCCTACAGTGAGATGCTGGCTTCACAAAAACCACCAGTGTTTATGGTTTTGGGTCTTATGTGTTCTGTTTGTTCATTGCTAAGGTTATAAGGAAGCTGTAACTTGCATGTGTTTCTTATGGGTGTGTAACTAGTCCCCAGAGTGGTCAATGTAATAATACCTATCGAAACTACAACTCTGTGTACCCTTGAACCCAGCAGTTCCTTTTCTGAGAATGTATTCTATACTTATGCAGACAGTCCCCTACTTAATGATGGTTCAAATAAACAATATTTCAACGTTACTATGGTATGAGAGCAGTACACATTCAATAGAAACCATATTTCGAATTTTGAATTTTGGCTTTTTTCCTGGGCTAGCAATGTGCAGTCTGATACTGACTTGTGATGCTCGACAACAGGGTGAGCTGCGGCGCCCAGCCATCCAGGCAGTCATGAGAGTAAACAACCAACACTACAAAATACCATGTTGCCAGCATTTTCTCTTGTTTTTTGGATATTGGCTTCTGAGCACGTTTCACGTAGATGAGACTAAGTTTTAACATTTGTTAGGTTAGGTGTATTTAATGCATTTTCGACTTACGATATTTTCAACGTAAAATGGGTTAAAATGCCCATTGTAAGTTAAGGAGCATCTGTGCTTGCACATATGGTTAAATGATAAGGTATACCTTACTGGTTGAAACATTAATGTTAACTGGAAAAGATTTCAAACAGTCCTGTCCAGTAGGAGGGGACTTACTAGTAGTACTTAGTAAATTATGATACTTCCAGAATATGAACTACTATGTAACGGGGGGAGGGAGGAGAGGATATAGAAGAATCTAGCATTCACTGTTAAATGAAAAAAAGCTGTGTTTTTAGTATGCTTTCACTTGGGTGGGGGGAGAATACATGTTTCTGTTTGCCTTTGTATATAAAAGACATTTCAGAAAGAATCACAAAAAACTAGTAACAGGGATTTCTTAGGCTGGAGTTGTTAACTGGACAATGGGGGACAAGGGTGGGTGGTAGACTTCACTGTATACCTTTTAACTTTTCTCGCCATATATTGCCTATTTAGAAAATTGTTAAATATTGGAAAATAAATAAAATCCATCCTTCTCCTATAGAATAGCATCGATAATAACAAACCACAAAACATTTTGCCTGGGAGTATTTTGAAAGCAAGCCAGTAGTTGATGGAGGATGAAAGTTCCCTTTCTTAACCTGCTTTGAAGTTGCTAAGTAAAAGTTAGAAGTTGACTCCAGAAGCGCTCCTCATCACTGTTGTGAAATTGGACAGTGAAAATGCCTCTGTCTTGCTCCTGTTGGAGGCTCAGAAGCAGAACCCCAGGCCCAGGGAACAGGGTGTGGAGGGAAAAATAAACAGGCAAGAGCGTGATATAGAAAGATGGGAGAGACTGGGAAGTGATTAATGCTCACTAAATTGCTACTACTTTACTTTTTATTCCCACAGACTTACCCTTCCCATAAGAAATCTATAAGACCTTATTCCCCACTTACTACAATAATCACATTAAATTATATGTAAGCCAAGAGGCTTCAACATTTTTATATTTGCTTACATGTCTTTGTTATGGGAGGAGTTATTAATTACATGATTGAGTTTGAATGTGCTCCTTTGTGATGATTTGACTTCTTACTGAATTTTCACTACATAGGGTGTCTGGTGGCATTCTAATAAGTTGATATTAGCTTCAAATTTAAATATTGGTTGTGGGCCAGCCCTGCCTTTGCCTTACTTTGCTGTTTGAAGGCATGACTTTTTAAAGAGAAATATAACATCCCAAAGACAACAAGGTTGAAAAGCCAAAGCAACTTCCTCTGTGAAGTCCTCCCTGTTGTGTCCTCCTGACCTGCATGTCCTTCCCCTGCCTGCCATGCCCAATGAGAAAGCAGGGACTTCTGCGGAGAGTGTGCTGTCTGTGCTGGCAGGCGGTTGTGGTGTGACAGAAGAATAAAATATTGGTCTTTCAGCATATTAAAGCTCTGCAGCCAAAGTGGAGCACATTTTTAGATGGGGAGTGGAAGTATGTTTAAACAGATTTTTATTCCTGTTTCAAAAGTATAGTCATGGTATTTTATTCTTTCCCCCTTAGCATGGAGATACAAATCTCCCCACCGGGTAGCATTTGTTGAAAAATTGACCAAGCTTGTTTTAAGTCAGCTGCCTAATTTCTGGAAACTCTGGATTTCATATGTTAATGGAAGCCTTTTCAGTGAGGTATGTATACAATATGACAATTGATGAAGGCGAGTCATTGTGAATTTCTAGTCTTAAAAATTTTAGATTCTGAAGTGACTTGTTTTGTTTTTAATCCTCACCAGAGGATATTTTTTTCCCATCGCTTATTGGGGGTTTGGGGGAGGGAGAGAAAGAGAGAGACAGAGAGAAACATTGATGTGAGAGAGACACATCAATCGGTACCTCCCACACACACCCGGACCAGGGCTGGGATCAAACCTGAAACCCAGATACGTGCCCTTGATCTAGAATTGAACCTGAGAACCTTCAGTGCACAGGCTGATGCTCAACCATTTAGCACATCAACCAGGGCCTGAAGTGACATTTTTTAAAACCTTAAGGGCCTAAAACCTATAATAGCTATTGTCAAATATTTTAAGATTAATTAAAAGCACTGTAAAGCTCCAATGCTTAATAGCTGTATAATTTTGAACAAGTTAATTGTTCTGGGACTCAGTGTCCTCAACTGTAAAAAGAAAATATTGAGTGTATCTATTTCAAAAGGTGATTATGATGATTAAATGAGATATTCAATTAAAGAAAAAAAGAAAATTTGAAATACTTTCAAGGATTCTGATATAAGTATAGTGTTGGGCAAAATTATGGGTGAAATTGTGCAGCGGACTATGAACATATGATAAATCAAAGATAAAATGCTTTTACAGCTTGCACACAGGTTCAAAATAATTCATATAATTAAGTGATTTCCTAGTTGGAAAGAATTTAAATATTTTTATTAGCCCCCAATATGGCCATTCTGCAGAAGTTCTTATATTTTCACAAGTCACATATTTACTTAGTTTCTTAATCATAACATAATTGGTAGCATAGAAGTTATGATTTCTATGTATAGCACCTGGAACTTAGATTTATCATTCTAAAGCAGGGGTGGAGAACCTTTTTTCTGCCAATAGCCATTTGGATATTTATAACATCATTCGTTTAATATAATTCACTTAATATAAATTTATGTTCCTATGCAAAGCTCCTAGATTTATTAAATTTCAAGTCCCACCTTGCAGGGCCAGACCAAATGATTTCATGGACCTTATACAGCAGGCAGGCTGGAGGTTCCCACCCCTGCTCTATATTCTCACTGCAAGTGCCGAATGAATGGGCCCTAGGTCCTGGAATATACACTGTAATGCCCTTTGCCTCCAGCTGCTAGGAAAACCCCACTTGTCACACATGCAGAAGACAGTTCTGGCTTCTTGTCTCCAGAGAGAACTCTTTTATAGCCCTGAGAGCTGGGGATATAGGGATCCTCCTGATGGTAAAGCTATTTCCTGCTTCTTTTGCACTTGTTCCCACTGTGGCTGCTAAGCTGAGCACAGGTTTGGGTTTCTTTCCCTCTCCCACAGAGCAGGTAGCTTCACCGCTCACATAATGCCATAGCTTCCTCTCTTAATCTGCTCCCTCTCGAACTCAGATTGCTTATATAAGGATTACAAAGGTTAGGTGCTGCTATATCAGTGCTATGGGCAAATAGTGTTCGAATTTTTTCTTATGGAACACTAGTGTTGAATGAGAAACACCCAGTATTTATCACATTAATTGCGACCTTAGCAATAACTTTACTTCTCTGTGCCCACTCCACAGGGCTGGCTTGAGAATTGAATGAGTTAGCAGAAATTATGTACTTATTACAGTATCTGGAAAATAAATAAGAATTTGCTCTTATTATTTGGAATAAAAATTTATCTAAAAGTCATTGTCCTGGTACATAATAGGTATTCAGTGAACAAAGTTTAATAGCATTTAAGAAATACTAGACTGATGAACCACTAGGTTAGTATTGAATAATGTCAAGATAGGTGAACTCATCTGAAGAATTATTTCCTTAGGAAATGGATTTTAGACCTAGTTCTTTTTTTTTCCAGCCAGGTGTTTTTTCCTTCCAATTGGATCAGTTCCAATAGGTCAGGGGTGGGAAACCTTTTTTCTACCAAGGGAGATTTGGGTATATACTCAGGTTATACAAAATTAAAAGTTAGCCTGCTATATTTGGTCAAACATTTAGTTAACTCATCTCTAATGCCTTGGCAAGGCCAAACCAAATGATTTCTCAGACTGGATGTTCCCCACCCCTGCTATAGGTAGACCATACATCCACAGAAGTTGCCTTATTCTGGTTGTTTTTAGAGTTTGTAAAATTCCCACATATTTTTGACCTGAGATATTTTAGGGAAGGGAAAACATTTTCCTTCCTTATAGATTATACCTAGTTGTGAAATAAATAAGCTACTTCTGGACTCAAGAACAATTAGTACTGAAAAAATGGTTTTAATTAGTTGTATTGAGTTGGATATGCTTATGGTATTTCTACCTATTCATATTTATAAAATGTTCTTAAAAGTTTATAGTAATTATTAAATACTAGAGGCCCAATGCATGAAATTCATGCAAGGTGCTTGGCCCTTGCAGCCCCGGCTTAGTTAGGAAGGTTGTCCGGAAGGATTTCCAGTCTCATTGGCATATTACTCTTTTATTATTATAGATAATTTATCTACAAATTTGGGTATGTTTTTAAACTACTCTCTATTAAAAAGCTAGAAAGACACCAAAGGGCAGTAGAAAGGGATGGATGAGTTAGGAAAGTGTGTCTACCATTTCAGTCTGTGAGTGAGATCTAGAAACGTAATAAAATTAAAATTGGGAAGAGTTCTAGGCTTTTAATAGTTGCTATTTAATCTCATAAAAGAAAGCGCTGTAATATTGAAAAAACTCAATTTACTTGAAAATTCTTATTTTCTTGTTATAGAACTATTTTATTAAGAGCCCATCCGTTGAAGATTTAGATGGAGTTTTCAACAGTTTAAAAAATAGTCAGTTCTTCAAACCAGTCAAGCCCATGTGAAGTAACTTATGTGAATCAAAACAGTGAAATCTAGCCGTTGGTCTCACCACAAAGTAGTTTTGGTCTGTGTGTGCAGGAAAGAGTTAAGGTTTTTAGTTAACGAAATGGTTAATAGTAGGTTAAGATCTCATCTTTAGATATATTTTAAAGACAGTGTATTTTGGGGTGAAAAATTTTAAAGCATCCAAATAATTTTTAAATAGTGGGAATCAGAATTTTTAAAAGTTTAATAATTTATAGTAAATAGCACTTTATGTTCTAAAATTGGATTAAAAAATAGAACAAACCTTACAAAATTCAGTATATTGGAGGTGTTTAATTCATTAGATTAAAACAATAAGTTATTTTTTAAATTAACAGTTGCAAAAGGTATGCCTTATAACTAATTCCCCTATCCCTTCCATTTTTCATGTATTTTGAGACAGGTTCTTGAGGTTTATAAAATTATTGTGTGCAGTAGATGGCATCATGCATTCATTAGTACATGTTTGGTGGACAAAATTGTTTGGGTAAAATTTAGCCTTAATTCTAGTATGATGTATTTTAATAATTGATTCTCACTTTTTTCTTTGATTTGAAACTATTTCACCAAGGACTATGAAATAATCTTCCCATTGAACAAGCCCACTATGTGAAAAGTTCAGTCTTAGGTACTATAGCAGATACAACTAGAAAAGATACCATTTGACAGTCAAGATACTTAACAATTTAACACTGGTATGACCCTTCATTGCGACAAGTGACACCTTACTTTCAGAGTTCCATCCCTTCCTCCACCACACACTAATTGAGGTCGGTATTAGGGTTCAGAGACACAGAACCAATACCCCATATCAACCATATATATCAAGAGAAAGAGACTTTGAGGAATTTGCTCATATGATTATGGAGGTTAACAAGTCCCACTATCTGCTGCAGTCAGCAAGCTGGAGACTTAGGAGAGCCCACTGCGTAGTTTCTATTTGAGGGCCAGCAGGCCGGGGATTGCCAATGTTTCCGTTCTAGTCTGAGGGCTGGAAAAGGCCAGTGTCCCAGCTCATGCAGTCAAGCTGTAAGAATCCTCCCTTACTTTGGTCTTTTTGTTCTATTCAGGCCTTCCACTGATTGGATGAGACCCACACTGAGACAAGCTGCTTCCTTCAGCCTACGAATTCAAATATTAATCTCACCCAGAGACACCCTCACAGACACACCCAGAGTAATGTGTAACCAAATTTCTGGGTCCCCATGGTCCAGTCAGGTTGACACAAAGAATTAACCATCACTAAATCCTTAACATAGATTTCCCAGTACAGGATGCCTGTGTTCTGTGCCTCCTGACATCGCAGTAGGTGCTGGGTTCCTCAGCAACATCTGAGTTCCACATCTAAAACAGTCCTCCCAACCCCCAGGAGTCACACAAAATTCTTAAACCTCTGGTCCTCCCTTTTGTTGACATCTTAAGACTCCAGGAGATGCATTGGGTCTGATGGACATTTCAGGAGCATATTACAGGGTTATGCCCCATGCACTTTCAAAGGGTCAGTCTTCCAAGTGGCAACTCAGGACTTGAGGTGTTCTAAAGGCCTTTCGATGAACCCAGTAGCATTCAGGGCCATCCTGTTTTCTGATATGTATTCCAGGATGTTCTGAAGAACTCTAACCCTTGGTGATACTTCATTCACCAAATATTTATTGAATGCCCTTAATAGCCTCTATGTGCCAGGTATTGAAACACACATACATATACACATATAATACACAATTTTAATATACATACATACATACAATATGATTAAAATAGTGACCAATGCAAATATGACCTCTCTACTCCATCCTAAATTTTTGTAACATCTATAATAGAAACAAATAGAGTCTTAAGTTAAAGAACATCTGATGATATGGAGATCAAGGAAGGTCTCTGAGGAGATGATACTGAAACTGAAACTTCAAACATGAGGAGGAAACAGCCTCACAAAGGATCAGGGGAAGAATGCACAGAGAGAGCAGCACACACAAAACTGAGGACAGGAGCTTGGCAAAAGAAAGTCACAGCATCCAGAGTATACTCAACAGTGGGCGGGTTTACCAAGAGAACCAAGAGCTGAGGTCGAGGAGCTGGCAGGGTAAAGAGTTTGTATTCTAGGTGCTGTGGGAAGCCATGGGAAAACGTTAAGTGGTGGAGTTACCTGCCCAAGTTTTTCAGTTTTAAAAGGACCACTCTGGTTGCCTGCTCAAGAATGAGTTGGCAGGGCCAGAAGTCAAGGCGGGGATGCTCTTGAGGCCATCCAGCCAGGAAACAGTGGTTGTATTCAGGTTTTGTTGGTAAAGTTAAAGAGAAAATTACAGATTTTATTTGTATTTTGGAAGTAGGGTTAACTGGACTTTCTGATGGATCACATGAGGTTGACGAGGACAGGGATTCAGATACAGCTCCCACAGGCTCCCAAGTGAATAGGTATGCCTTTGGTATAGTCAGAAAGATTTGAGAAAGACCATAGCTGGAGGAAAATATCAGTTTTTTATTTTAATGTTTTGAGTTTGAAATTCCTGTGATTTATTCAAATAGGAAATCAGAAATTCAAATTGTCAGAAGAAAGATTTGGGCTATATATATAAATTTGAAAGTGTGAGATATAATCTATAATGATAAAAGCATAATATGCTAATTAGACCGGACAAAACTGGGGCTGCAAGGGAAGCCCAGGTCCCGGATGCTAGAGAGAAGCCGGTGCTGGCAGCTGGGGGAAGGAAGGCCTACTCGTGCATCAGGCCTCTAGTTTATAATAAATATCTATTTGGTCTTCATCCTGGCACAGAGCTCTTAAAATCCTTGGAATTTCTGAAGTGAGGACTAATAAAGGTATCTTTTGTTATGTTGTTGAGGTGGCTTAGGTCCCCACCTAAGGATGAGGTACTCATTGCCCAGACACCAACCACGTGATTACATGGTTGGAACTTTCACCCCAGACCTCCTAAGTAGGTGGAGACTGAGCTTAATCACCTGTGGCCAGTGATCAACAGAGCCTTCATAAAACCCCAAAAGGAAGGGTTCGGAGAGCTTCAGGTTGGTGAACACATGGAGATTCTGGGAGTGTGGCCTGCTCAGAGAGGGCATGGAAGCTCTACATCCTTTCTCCATACCTTGCCCTGTGCATCATTTTCATCTGTCTGTTCCTGAGTTATATTCTTTTATAGTAACTGGTTAATAAGTATCACATTTATCTGAGATCTCTGAGACATCCTAACAAATTATTGGAACCAAGGAGGGGTTAGTAGGAACCTCTGGTCCAGCCATGGGCAAACTACGGCCCGCG